GTACTTAGTACAGGGGGCCAGTAGTAACGCCATGCATCCACCAGATCAGAGTGCCCCATGAGCCTGTCTCTGTTGATCCACACCTTCTACGAACTTTAGTGACTGATGCAATCTTCTCTCGAGATCCTCCGAGGATTTGTCTCTGAGTGTAACTCCCCCACGACAGCTAAGGGTCACGGGCATAACCGAAGGACGAGAGCGATCCAGGGGGAGAGCACCGGCGCATGGGGTCCGCAGGGGCCGGTTCCCAGGGATGCAAGGACGGCAGATCGCTTGCTGTCTAAGCAGTAATTAGATCCATGTTTTGTCATGACGGCAAGGTTGGCACCGGATCAAGTTCTTTGGATCTTTAACACAATATCTGACAAATGCATTGTTCTATTGGCTGAACATAGGATTGCTGACAAAATTTTGTTTCCGCATTGGCATAACCCGAACAGAACTTCAATGTTGTTGGTAGTATTCTATCTTGTGTTGAGTGCTCTCGCGGCAGCATGCAAGCAAGCACAAAATTGTGTAGAGGATAAGTGCGAAATGATCGGAGACACCGAAATTTGCACTCAGTGCACAGCAGGAAAAGTCCCAATTGATGGAGTATGTACAGCAGTTGGTAGTGCCGCTGGTAAATGTACAAAGGCTGAAGGACAAGCAGTAGATGACACTGATAAAACATGTGGAAAATGCGTAGACGCATACTTCATGTACAAAGGCGGATGTTATCTGGCCGGTGCAGCTGGACCGGGTACTGGTACTAAAATGTGCAAGCAGGCTGCTGGTGGCAAGTGTACGCAAGCTGCTGATGCGAAGAACTACTTCATTCCACCAGCAAATACAGACGATACTCATGATTCTGTCGTTTGGTGCGGTGATGAAATAGGCGTAACACTTAGTAGTACTCAGTATAAGGGTGTTGCTAAGTGCCTAGTATGTGATGCTCCCGGTGGCGCTGGTGCTGCAACGTGCACAACCTGTGAAGACGGGTACTTTGGTGCTACTTGTGAAAAATGCCATGAAAGTTGTAGGACATGTGAAGCTGCAGAAGAGAATAAGTGCAAGTCGTGTACAGATGGCTACTTCCTTGGAGCAACCAATGGAGCCGCAGGTAAGTGCCTTAAATGTAACTCTAAAACAGAGGAAGGCTGGCACGGAGTTGACAACTGTGCTAAGTGCACGTCATCTAATACGCAAAACACTCCTGCGACATGCACTGAATGCGTTGCAAATTTCTATCTAAAACCAGCTGCGGATGCGACTCCTTCTAGTTGCGTCACAGAAACGGGGTGCGGTGACGGATACTTCCCAACTATTGTTGATGAGGTCAAGAAATGTATCGCTTGCAGTGCAGCTACAAATGGTGGCATAGATGACTGCAAAAAGTGTTCTCTCAAAACAACGTCTGCGAAGGCAGGAGTAGAGATCGTATGCACTGAATGTAATACTAAATGGCTCAGTCCTCTAAGAGACGCATGTTTGGATAGCTGTCCTCCTGGAACACATGCTGATTCTGGCAATATTTGTCCTTTATGTCATAGTACATGTGCAGAATGTGATGGTAATGCAGGAGCCAACTTTTGTACAGTTTGTTATCCAGGGTTTGTATTAAAGCGCGGTGAAACTGGCAACATGGGCATGTGCGTTCCCGAGTGCACTGGAGAGTACGCAGAGAACTGCGAAGCTGACCAATGCACGGCCGTTATAGGTAGCTCCAAGTATTGCAGCAGGTGTAAGGTTGGATTTGCCCCAGTGGATGGCGTCTGTGTATCGACGGCTTCAAGAGCAGTAACTGGATGCACAGCAGGAAACGATGGGACATGTACGGCCTGCACAGGTACATATTTCTTACAATCTGGTGGGTGCTATCAGTCAACAACGTATCCTGGTAATACCCTCTGCTCTATCGCTGCTAGTGGAAAGTGCACAACATGCGCCAATGGGCAAACAGCAGATAGCAATTTGGGTTCTTGCCCAGCATGTCCAGCTGGCTGCTCAAAGTGCGCAACTAGTGGTAGTCCCAAAGCATGCTCAGAGTGTTTCCCTGGATACTATAAATCTGGGGATAGCTGCGCAAGATGCGATACTAATAACAGCCAAATTACCGGTGTCGCTAATTGCGTAAGCTGTGCTCCTCCATCTAATGGTCAAGGATCTGTCATCTGCTACATAACGCGACAAGAGACCGACGATGGCACTGGCGACAACACAGGTGGAAGCACGAACAAGAGCGGCCTCTCCACGGGTGCCATCGCGGGGATCTCCGTGGCTGTGATTGTTGTTGTAGGTGGCCTCGTCGGCTTCCTCTGCTGGTGGTTTATCTGCCGTGGAAAGGCGTAGACTTAGGTAGTAAACACGTCACTGTATATGGCTTATTACGCTATTCTGCCGGGGCTATCTGAGGATCGCCCAGAGATCGTGTGAGTGAGTCCGCTCCTTTCTGACTAGTCCGGAGACGAGGGTTGGTCATGAATAACATGACGGAGAGTCCTCTCCAGTGATATATCCAGAGCCTGGTGCGCTCCTCTGCCATTTCGCGGGGGTGTACTCAATCCGAGTGTGTGCGTCACTCACCCTGGGATTCAGCTTACCTATCCATTTGCATCGTCCACCAGTGGCGCCTCTCGTTGGTCTTCCTTCGTGGTGGGTGAAGCTCCGGTCGCCGTCCTTTTTTAGATGCCCCGTCTGTCAGGGGCTGCCACCGGGCTCTCCGCTGGCTGGGCCCTCGGTGTCCGGGCAGCTGTGGCTCGAGTCAGCGCTCCCACAGTCCAGTCACCTGTGTCTCAGTGGGCCGGCTGGTGGGTGGGGCGGGGGTATGGGGCGGTGGGACTGGAGGGGCTCTGGTGGGGGCTGAGGTTGGTGGTGCTCGTATGTGCCCCTGGGTCCGGTGAACTGGGGTGATCGCAGCTGTGGTGACTGGGGGCTGTCTACCTGTGACTCATCCCTCTGTGTGCTCGTGGTCTGTGAGTGCCTCCACCCAGGCAACCCTCAGGAGCCGTGCACACCGGGACAGAGAGGATGACCAAGGGAGTCAGGCAGCCCTGCCATGAGGGTGCACAGCAACCAGCCTGATCTGCAGGGCTGCTCGAGCGATGGTAGTGGCAGACGACTCCCTCTGACAGCAGCCCTAGTAACTGGCACTGGCCTGCTCTCGAGGCTGAGTGATAGTATGCACAGATGGACCTGAGTGCAGGAGGACCATCCACACACGGACAGACTGTGCATGACCCAGAGAGGACTAGGGTCTGCTCGGGACACGCTGACTGTGTCCCATACGAGAGTGCCAGGCAACCACCCGAGCACCCGAGAGGCAGCAACAGCCACGGGCACCAGAGATCCCCAGCCAGACAGCTGCTATGCTCATCCACAGGGACATCAGAGGGCCAGGTGGGGTCACCCTCACAACCAGGGCCTGATAGGAAACCAGAGGACTCAAACACTACAGCACAGCAGACCCAAGGGAGGCACACTCCAGGCAGGTGAGCAGTGGCAGAGCCCTGATAGCTGCCAGCCCCCATGACACCCAGACAGGCACCAGACCCACCGAAGACTCCGCTGGTCTCCATCGATGACCCGAGGGGGCAGCAGCCAGAGGAGTGAGGAGGCCTTCGGATGACACAAGAGGCCGGCTGTCCAGCAGGCAATGAGGCAGACAGGTGACCTCTGAGCACCACGCAGGCACAGAGCCGACTATCAGAGTGATGCCCGGTCACAGAGACGACCACGAGCGCCCTCCACCCACTCTGAGGGGCTGTCAATCATCCCACTGCCTCTCATAGCAGACCTCCTTGGGGGCAGTGCAGTGGATGGCCCAGCTCATGCAGGAAGGTGCACGCCTCCCTGGCATAGGACACCCCGGCTCTCCCCGAGGGGTCATCAGAGCCACGAGAGGTGTTAAGGTTAGTAGACCACACCGGGAACTCCCGAGGGCACAGCAGGTGATGTTGGGTGACCCCCAGCGTGCTCCTCTCTGATGGTAGAGCATCCTGAGACCAAGGAGGCTCACCTCTGCCTATGGATGATACACAGCGCTCCACAACAAGGACCCACCAGGAGCAGCACAGCTGACCACGGGGACAGTGCAGTCACCGATGCCCCACCGTGTTAGTCTTTTGAGTCATCACACTAGAGGCATGAGAGAACCCCATCCCATTCACAAGGTCATCCACACCCCTGCTGGCCCGAGGTGAACTATCGTCGAGGCACCGGACAGGGCATGCCAGGGGCCCAGCAGACCCGTCACAGAGCATCAGCGAGCAACAGGAGAGGCTGCGATGGTCTGCCTCAGCCCTCATGCACCAGCCAGACAGAGCAGTACTGCCCGAGGCATGCAGGGGCCAAGGGAGGCGCTCACTCAGGGGGACACGACACGATCGTCGGTGCCTCTGTCTCGGGAGTGCAACGATGGTTGAAGATCAGACACAACCACCTTGGCAAACAGAGCGGGGATCACCCCAGTCCACTAAAAGGTCAGGGGCGCATACGAACACCCACCACCTGGTCCCACCAGTCCCCTCCAGCCTCACCGCCCCATACCCCCGCCCCACCCACCAGCCGGCCCACTGAGACACAGGTGACTGGACTGTGGGAGCGCTGACTCGAGCCACAGCTGCCCGGACACCGAGGGCCCAGCCAGCGGAGAGCCCGGTGGCAGCCCCTGACAGACGGGGCATCTAAAAAAGGACGGCGACCGGAGCTTCACCCACCACGAAGGAAGACCAACGAGAGGCGCCACTGGTGGACGATGCAAATGGATAGGTAAGCTGAATCCCAGGGTGAGTGACGCACACACTCGGATTGAGTACACCCCCGCGAAATGGCAGAGGAGCGCACCAGGCTCTGGATATATCACTGGAGAGGACTCTCCGTCATGTTATTCATGACCAACCCTCGTCTCCGGACTAGTCAGAAAGGAGCGGACTCACTCACACGATCTCTGGGCGATCCTCAGATAGCCCCGGCAGAATAGCGTAATAAGCCATATACAGTGACGTGTTTACTACCTAAGTCTACGCCTTTCCACGGCAGATAAACCACCAGCAGAGGAAGCCGACGAGGCCACCTACAACAACAATCACAGCCACGGAGATCCCCGCGATGGCACCCGTGGAGAGGCCGCTCTTGTTCGTGCTTCCACCTGTGTTGTCGCCAGTGCCATCGTCGGTCTCTTGTCGCGTTATGTAGCAGATGACAGATCCTTGACCATTAGATGGAGGAGCACAGCTTACGCAATTAGCGACACCGGTAATTTGGCTGTTATTAGTATCGCATCTTGCGCAGCTATCCCCAGATTTATAGTATCCAGGGAAACACTCTGAGCATGCTTTGGGACTACCACTAGTTGCGCACTTTGAGCAGCCAGCTGGACATGCTGGGCAAGAACCCAAATTGCTATCTGCTGTTTGCCCATTGGCGCATGTTGTGCACTTTCCACTAGCAGCGATAGAGCAGAGGGTATTACCAGGATACGTTGTTGACTGATAGCACCCACCAGATTGTAAGAAATATGTACCTGTGCAGGCCGTACATGTCCCATCGTTTCCTGCTGTGCATCCAGTTACTGCTCTTGAAGCCGTCGATACACAGACGCCATCCACTGGGGCAAATCCAACCTTACACCTGCTGCAATACTTGGAGCTACCTATAACGGCCGTGCATTGGTCAGCTTCGCAGTTCTCTGCGTACTCTCCAGTGCACTCGGGAACGCACATGCCCATGTTGCCAGTTTCACCGCGCTTTAATACAAACCCTGGATAACAAACTGTACAAAAGTTGGCTCCTGCATTACCATCACATTCTGCACATGTACTATGACATAAAGGACAAATATTGCCAGAATCAGCATGTGTTCCAGGAGGACAGCTATCCAAACATGCGTCTCTTAGAGGACTGAGCCATTTAGTATTACATTCAGTGCATACGATCTCTACTCCTGCCTTCGCAGACGTTGTTTTGAGAGAACACTTTTTGCAGTCATCTATGCCACCATTTGTAGCTGCACTGCAAGCGATACATTTCTTGACCTCATCAACAATAGTTGGGAAGTATCCGTCACCGCACCCCGTTTCTGTGACGCAACTAGAAGGAGTCGCATCCGCAGCTGGTTTTAGATAGAAATTTGCAACGCATTCAGTGCATGTCGCAGGAGTGTTTTGCGTATTAGATGACGTGCACTTAGCACAGTTGTCAACTCCGTGCCAGCCTTCCTCTGTTTTAGAGTTACATTTAAGGCACTTACCTGCGGCTCCATTGGTTGCTCCAAGGAAGTAGCCATCTGTACACGACTTGCACTTATTCTCTTCTGCAGCTTCACATGTCCTACAACTTTCATGGCATTTTTCACAAGTAGCACCAAAGTACCCGTCTTCACAGGTTGTGCACGTTGCAGCACCAGCGCCACCGGGAGCATCACATACTAGGCACTTAGCAACACCCTTATACTGAGTACTACTAAGTGTTACGCCTATTTCATCACCGCACCAAACGACAGAATCATGAGTATCGTCTGTATTTGCTGGTGGAATGAAGTAGTTCTTCGCATCAGCAGCTTGCGTACACTTGCCACCAGCAGCCTGCTTGCACATTTTAGTACCAGTACCCGGTCCAGCTGCACCGGCCAGATAACATCCGCCTTTGTACATGAAGTATGCGTCTACGCATTTTCCACATGTTTTATCAGTGTCATCTACTGCTTGTCCTTCAGCCTTTGTACATTTACCAGCGGCACTACCAACTGCTGTACATACTCCATCAATTGGGACTTTTCCTGCTGTGCACTGAGTGCAAATTTCGGTGTCTCCGATCATTTCGCACTTATCCTCTACACAATTTTGTGCTTGCTTGCATGCTGCCGCGAGAGCACTCAACACAAGATAGAATACTACCAACAACATTGAAGTTCTGTTCGGGTTATGCCAATGCGGAAACAAAATTTTGTCAGCAATCCTATGTTCAGCCAATAGAACAATGCATTTGTCAGATATTGTGTTAAAGATCCAAAGAACTTGATCCGGTGCCAACCTTGCCGTCATGACAAAACATGGATCTAATTACTGCTTAGACAGCAAGCGATCTGCCGTCCTTGCATCCCTGGGAACCGGCCCCTGCGGACCCCATGCGCCGGTGCTCTCCCCCTGGATCGCTCTCGTCCTTCGGTTATGCCCGTGACCCTTAGCTGTCGTGGGGGAGTTACACTCAGAGACAAATCCTCGGAGGATCTCGAGAGAAGATTGCATCAGTCACTAAAGTTCGTAGAAGGTGTGGATCAACAGAGACAGGCTCATGGGGCACTCTGATCTGGTGGATGCATGGCGTTACTACTGGCCCCCTGTACTAAGTACCATTAGGGTTCTTCATTGCATGACAGAGTGGCAAGTAGAACTCAGAGACGGGTCAGCCCTCCCGTGTCTAGTCAAGGGGAAGCACTGCCCAGACCGTGCTGTCTCCTGAGCTGATGGAGAGGACTCCCATCACCCCTTGAATTACTCTGATGCTACCGCTCTATCGTACCAGAAGCACCCAGGCCTGCGGTACCTTGGTCTGTTGATGTGAGTGACACAGAGCTCTCTGTGTTAGGCTGTCTTCATGAGAGACGAGATCCAGAGGGACTGTGCTGGTTTGATAGCCAGTGACCAGGCCCATACTCAGCGTGGCCTCGTGTGGGTACCAGGGTAGTTGGGTGCCCATCCACTGATAAGGGAGTCGAACAACATTTAGCTGCTACTTTCGGGCCAATCTGTGTCTGATCATGGTAGATATGCCGATCGGTGCAAGCGTCCTACCTCTTGATTCATGCATCATGTCACCTGGTAGAGGGCGTGGTATGGTTCTATACACCTCTCTGTGATGCTACTGCGAGAAGTAGATCCTTATTGTGTGGCTACGGAAGCCGAATAGTCTCCGAAGACACCATATCCTTGTGATCTCCAGCATGGCCCCGCTAGAGCCCAGAGCTCAATGTTCACAGGCCAGTGTAGGAAGTGAAAGTCTAGCAACACACACCTTGAGCGGGAGTGCCACAAACATGCATCGGATACGATCCTGCCAAGAATCCTGTAGGAGGCTGTCCTGGACCTCAGTGGTTGGAGAATCTTCAATAGAAAAATGGCTACTGTACTCACTCATTCATTGTTGTGAAGGCTTCCTATCGATGTTTATTGATGCGGGCTGGATGACCTCTGTCCACCTGTAGGACTCGACTGCTGTGCGTTGTAGACGATCGACGAGACTGATATCGCCCTCCATCCGTTGGGTTTATACGAGTGGACGAACTCTGTAGCTGACTGGTTACTATAAGAAAGCCTGCGCCTATGAGGTCACAGCTTGCATTCGATAGGTAAAAGGCTCTATTGGGCCACAATGTTCCTTGCAGGCTCTGCGGGGCGTGTGGCTACCCCCACGCAACAACTGAGATATAGCTCTGCCTAGCTGAGGCTTGCAGGCACGAGCACGGTACAGCTCCTTTCAGTTTATGAAGTCAAACACACTCCAGACGACGGAGATAGATAGAGACCCGGATGCATCCAATGCTAGCCTGAGCTGTTCCAATCTTTACTATCCGAGGAATTAACAGGACCACAGAATGGCAGAGGCCTACCTCATGCTCCTGCTTAGAAGTCTGCGCCTTAGCGAAAGTACGCGTCACGGTCACTGCTGACTACCTGCTGGTGAGTTGTTATCTGCTTTTGAGACCATTAGTTGAGTTGCTAGTTAAATTGAGAAGCAATGACAGTATTACTCAGACAATGAGCCGAGAAAGCTGATGCTGGTTGTGTACCTCCCACGCTGAGCATACCCACTGTGCAGGGCAAAGGATCTAATGCCCTAAGTGGTCAGATGAAGCTAAGGCGCTTGTCAGTAACGATATGCATACGGGCTTCAGCCAGAGACTTACGAAGAAACGCTGAGGAGCCCAAGACCTGCCAGATCTGTATAAGGGACATAACGGATGCCCAGATGATAAATCTATTGACCCTTTTCCTTGGTAGACAGGAGTCTGGCTTGTAGTGGCCGTCTGCGTGACGTATGCCTTTACAGAACTGATGGAAGTACCCATTGATCTGGAAAGGTCATTAATAAATGGTTGCACGAGATAGGCAAGCAGAGAACAGGAGTGGACCACACTATCCTGGCTGATGAGCAATCCAGACTATATAATACGTATACAATCCTTGGCCGAAGTGGAGATGCACCGTAGACTTAGCCACGTGAGCTGAGAGCGCTGCTAGCGATCATCTGCCATGAGAAGACGCAGGTGAGAAATCTGTGGACAGCAACCACGCCGACTGGTACCAGCCTGCACAGCATGCCTCTACAATAGATCCTCGCCAATATGCGGAGAGAAGGTAAACTTCTTCAACTTCAGACGAGGCAGGCCGCTGATAAATATTACGCTGTTAGGAATATATAAAATCAAAAAGCAGCTTTCAACTTATCTGTAGACCCCGCGATCTTTACCACTCGGAGACCAGAGAGGCGCTACAGGCGTCTCTGCTGCAATCCGGGCTAGTAGCTGGCCTCTCTGACGCCAGTCTTACTTCACTGATTCGCTGGTCACCCTATATTCTCCATGCGGACCGGCTCTCCAGAAACCGTTATGCACGGATAGTCTTTTGAGTACCCGAATAACATCCTCATCCGCTGAGGTGTGTCACCAAGGACTAGATACCATAAGGTCAACGCAACCAGAGACAGGCCCCCTCGCAGTCCTGTCCAACACTAGCAGCGAGGATCCAAACGAGTACATAGATAAGTGAGGAGTGTATCATAGCTCAAACCGGTCATCGCACTAAGATCATAACAATCGATGTATAGAGTTCTGCTTTTGGCTTATGTGTGGATTTATGTCTCACCTTGAAAGGCAGCAGATCGTTCTATGGCACCTTTCCTAGTGTTCAGTTGTCATTACAACTGGTGAAATTGCAACCATAGAGACTGTATGCCTTCCTAGAAGAGTGTCCAGTGCGACTAACTGATATTCTTTATTAACAACAGGCAGGGTAGATACTATAGTATCTACACCACCTACTAGGGCGGCGCATGGCCATGCATGCATCAGTAGAGAAGCTGCTGTAATCTCTGCTCAGTCTGTTGGGTAGATGCAGCCCCTCATCGCAGCAAACATGGTGGTGGGCAGGTCGCCTGTGTAAGCTAGCTGATCCGTCCATTCTGGTCTAGCTGCGTGCATTTGGAGGCTGTAGTGCACATTCATGAAGACAACGCACCGTCTATACATACCATGCCTCGTTCTGTGCTATTCACAGGTCTTAGCGTCTCAGAAGTCAAGGCTAGTGCAGAATGCCCCAAACTACCCATCTAGAGGGCCAAAGCTGATACCGCGCATAATACATCATCTTAGGGAGACAATGGCTGCCGTCATCGTTCCGGATTTTTTAGTGTCAGACAATCGACCCCACGATGAGTTTACTCTTCGCAGCTTCCGTCTGCATATCGAAGCTGGCTTCTGGCTGCTCAGGCAGCGGATGAGGAGGTTGTACAAAGCGTCAGTCGCTGGGCTGCCTTCTATCCGCACATGGCCCTGAATGTAGCTCCCACCTATCCGAGACATATGCACTTCTAGAAAGTGATCGGGTAGCATCTAGAGCTGTTCATGATGGGCATGGTCATTATTCACTTAGCTCTGCCCTTTTCCCAACCATCAGGGGATACCTCCCTAGCTACATGCCCCGAAGTACTACATAATAATAGCAAAATGGCACTATCACTCTTTAAGCTTCCCTGACCTGTCGGCAGTGTGCCTCCCAACATCCAGTGCGGCACCACCGGATGAATCTATGCGGCTGTGGATACCTTACAGCATCGCATTCATCTAGCTCACTGTATACCCTATTCTATCTGGGAGCAACCCAGTCGTGCACAGGAGCCCTTACCTCCCACCCAGGGCCCAGTCCAATGCTCAGTTGGCTCGGATGCCCTACTGCACCCTGTAAAGCCTCGTTGAGACCATAGATGTGGTGTGCTGCTGGGCGCACCATCCCACGTCGCGCTGCTATAGAACACTGGTTATCAGGCTGTCCATAGCCCACTACAGGAACTGTAGGACATGACCACACGTAGAGTGCCTGAGTCACTGTGTACGCTGTCCACCGACGTGCCCTGGTACCTGCGGATGGAAACGCGTCGCTACGGCCACACGGGTATTTACACGTCCTAAAAGCTCTCATGCCATGCAGTACAGGGTCTGCTACTTGGCATGGACCCTTCGATACCGAGACTCTAGAAGAGCATCCCAGGCACCTCCAGTCCTGTTCAGAGAGGAGGCACGCTACGAGAAAACTAGCTATTTCTCACTATTGTCTGATCTGGCTGGAAGTTCGCATGAAGATTCTCACCACGTGACCAGCACAATCTCCTGTCGTCCAGCCACGGTAACACTTTGGGGTATTAGAGTGCAGCTCACGTGTTACCTTTATCCCCTCTAGAGAGTCCAGGTTGTGAATGTTCTTGTAGGAGAGAAGCCCGTGACCCGAGGGCAGTTGTTCTTCATCAAGGCGTCTTCGACGCACTTGACAATCTGATCCCTGTTAGAGGCCTTCTGGTGGCTGTTGCTCATATATCAACGACCCACCAGTCTGACAAAGCACACCTCATTTGCTTCACGAGGTGCTCTCGCCTCTTTTGACTGGGGTTCTATAAGAAGGGTCTTTATCATCCCTGAGCATGGCTATGGGGTGGGTGCTGAAAAGGATGTCCCTCTCCTCTTCATTCCCATCCCTTCACGCAGTTACGCTCTACACTCGATGTTTGTGTTGCAGTGCACCTGGACGGCTCTCTGACCTCGGTGGGTTCAGTGCAGAACGAGCATATGCTCGAGTGACTACCATCTGGTGCCACATCAGCACAGAGTGTTTCGTTTTAGCCAGATGTCTCCTAC